CAATCCACGTTGGATAGATAAGGCAAAAGGTTACCGGCAAATTAAAACTTTGGATAGACTGGTTCAAAACATGGAGTTTTGTTATCATGCTACCAAAGTGGAGAGGGATTTTAGAGTGTTTGAAATTACCTTAAGATTGCGATCAGAAATCTCGTGATCTTTAAGAACCTTTCTAAGACAGACACACTCCGAATGAGGTCTCGAGGGTGCTTAGGAAAGGTGTCACTGCTATGCAAAGACTAATAAAAGTGAGAAATTACAATGAAAGGCAAAGCGCTACAATTAAATCTCCTAACTGTTCTAAATCAAGCAGGCAGTGCATAGTAAATTAGTTTGTGTTTATCCTTCGAGGGGTAAACGTATCCTTGCCGCATATCTCCAGTGAAGGTACTGCTCAGATTTTCAGCTCCAATGAGGTTAGGTTTATCTGTTGACATGAACGACTTACTGTCGAACCAACTACCTGGTGCGTTAATAATAACCTCCTCCTGGTTAGCTCAATGGATAGAGCGCTGGACTGTTGTGCGGGAGGTCGAGGGTTCGAGTCCCGGCCGGACCAACACTCAGGGTCTTAAAATAATTGAGAAGAATTTTCTACCTTTCTATAACATCAAGAAATGGTTAGATATTCTAGTCTTCTCGGATAGGGACGAATAAATGGAAGTCCCGTCTCCTGCAGGGTTAGGGGTAGGAAACGTTAATTTCTCACACACGAGATTACTGTATGGTGGATGTCCTCCCCTGGGGTGGGACGGGTGAGAGGATGGACTAGCACGAATGGTTCCTATGTTCCTTTCTTGTCCTTCCCCACTGCAAAAAACTTAATGCAGTGAAAATGGACTAAACTAAATTAAATTAAATTATAATCATGTTCATATCAGTCTAACTGAGGTTTAAGAAATTCTATTTGAGAAAATCTCGAGTCCATGATCAACTTTGCTGCCACACCCAGTCCGCACTCAGACCAAATTTTCTCTTTTTAAGCTTAAAAGTCGATAAGGTGATCCGTACACGTCTTCTTGGCATTTACAAGTTGGTTATTAGCTTATTTTCTTGACGGAGATGGAGTTTCAGGCGTGCAACAATAAATGCAACAATAAGCAACAATGATGTGTTGTTTGTTGGTATTTATCGAACCCCATAAGTAACTGGCACTGATTGCTACCGTAAACTGGAAGAGGAATTTAATTCACTATGCATGTGGGCTACGATGGAATGTAACACACTCATACTTACGGGAGACCTCAACCTTGACAGATAAAGACCAGAACGCACAGAAGAGAAAATTTTGCTCAGTCTAGAGGAGGTTTATGGTCTGGAGTGTCTAATTAAGGATCCAACCAGAATTACGCCTACATCTGAAACTCTTCTGGATGTGATCCTTACTAACAAGCCAGAGCTTTTTAAAACAAGTGGAGTACTAAATCCAGGAATGAGTGACCACCATCTAGTGTATGGGATTATGAAGCATAGGGTGTCTCAGAATGAAAGAAAAGTAGTCACATTTAGGAGTAATGACTAAAACACTGGATGTTGAAAAACTAAATAAAGATTTATCTTGTGCTCCCTGGAACGTAATAGATACCTTTGATACTCTTGATGAGAAGTATCTTTTTTGGGAGTCCCTTTTCAACACCATAGCAGAGAAGCACATGTCTACTAAGAGAATGAGGTTTCGTAAAGTCGATGTGCCATACATGACACCTGAATGGAAAAGGGCAATCAAATGAAAAGGAAATTTGCCAAGAAATATGCTCAAAGCAGAACAGAGGAAAACTGGGAGCTCAAGAGAATATGGAGAAATAAAGCTACCAGCTACAGACGAAAAGCTATCAAAGAATATTGGAAACAAAAGGCAGGTGACCTTAGAGCTAAGCCAAGAGAGTTCTATAAAACCTTCAGGCCATTTCTTAGCGATAAGAAGCAGCCTATAAGCGAGATCCACATTAAAGCAAACGGGAGAATTGAGAAGGGCCAAGAAAAAGTAGCAAATGTTCTGGCAAACTACTTTTCTATGATAGCCAATGATATAGGTGGAGCAGGTGTCAATTGCTTAGCTGAGGATGGTTTGTCGAGTCATACAAGCCTCATTATAACATAACCAAAGTAAAGCGCGCGCTCTGATTGGTCAATTTAGCGTCCCCCATTTGCCCATGGGTGTACGCTGCTGACGTGAGCAAATGCAAAGACTATTTTTCCGCGCGCGCTTGTTTTTTCTGGTCACGTAAGATTTGTTAAATAAAAGGGAACTCTTTAGCTACAATGTATCAATGTTATGTTATAAAACAAATGGTAAACACCACAGCGTACACTATTGAGTTATGGATGCACTTGGGAGGTTTGCTAAGCACTCAAGAAGCTAGAGTCGCTCTCGGCTATCGCCTCGAGCGACTCTTACGCTTCTTTCGTGCTTGGCAGCCTCCCGCGTGCATCCA